TCAGTTTTGGGACTCCTGCGTTTGCAGTCGTAGTCCCCCGGGCTAGTATTTTGTGGGGAGAGAGATGGATTTGTAAGAGTTGACGCCGGCCTTTGCAGCTAACGCGGCCGGAGAGACGATGAGCGTTTCGTGCGTCTCTCTCCCCAACACGTAGCCTAGAAACCGAAGAAATAATGAAGCAATTCGAAAGAAAACAAAATAAAAGGAAGGTTTGTTCGTCGAAGCAGATAGAATAAACTGGTGTTTATTTTGTAACAGTCGAATTAGAATTTGGCTTCATTTTCTACCGGAAACCCAGGGTCACGGTGTTTGGAATTATTAGTCTATAGTTGGGGGTGTCATTCCGTGATCGAGTCCACGCAGGGGCTGTAGCAAAGTCGGGTAACGTGTGACAGCTACAGAGCGCGTGAAGCAACGGAAGGACAGCAGCAGCCGCCTAACGCAGTAGCGGCGGCAGTTTAGAAAATCCCGCCCTCCCATCCCTTTTCTTTCGAAGGTGGGGGCATAAGTTCGGGAATATTCGGTATCTAGTCAGGTGTTGTAGAATGGTGTGTACCATTTGAGGACTTGGTCAGTTTTGGGACTCCTGCGTTTGCAGTCGTAGTCCCCCGGCTAGTATTTGTGGGGAGAGAGATGGATTTGTAAGAGTTGACGCCGGCCTTTGCAGCTAACGCGGCCGGAGAGACGATGAGCGTTTCGTGCGTCTCTCTCCCCAACACGTAGCCTAGAAACCGAAGAAATAATGAAGCAATTCGAAAGAAAACAAAATAAACTGATTGTTGTGTTCGCAGATACGGCTATGAGAAAGGCAGCAATCTCGTGAGGGGATCGAATACATACCGAGAACTTGGAATCTGTCTACTGTTTCGAACACGTGGTAGCCACCACGGCCCCGAGCTCCTTGCAGCTGCAGCCAGATAGGCAGCCACGAGGAACTGTGTCGTCCTCTTCCATCGCGGGCGACTCGAGGCCGAAGCTCAGGCGGCACTCGTACGTGTCGAAGTCTGGCTCCATCGCCATCGTCAGGCCCAGCGTCTCCTCGAAAAAACGTTCGGTCGGGATCTTGCACATGTTTGTGCACAACCCCTGACCCCGTTGCATGTAAGGCGTGCCACACAAGAGGAATGTTAGGTACTTGGGTCTTTGCGCCAAGAGAAACACAGGCCGGGGGCAACTAGCAGGGAAATTTCGACCATCATGCTATTGAGTTACGGGGAGCCCTAACCCTGACACCCTCGCAACACATTACGACGACAAGCCGCCGACTTGCGTGTTTAGGGATCGAGAAAGGTGGGGGCGCGGTGTAGCGGGTGACAACATTTTGAGAAACAGTCTGCTTACGCTTGCTGGCAGCGAAACGCCTCAATGGTCAGGTCCCGAAAAAAGAAGTACTACGGAACCGTGGCTGGACATGAATGTCGACAACAAACAATGGCCCGTACTGTAAATTTCCGCCAGGTGACATGCCATGGCCCGAGCGCAAGCGATGAGTGTTGCGGGTTGGGGGAGCTACGGCGGCTATAAAGCGGGCAAACCAAGAGCGGCATCACCAGTAACACCTCACCTTGCAATTGGTCTCCTCCAAAAATCGACACCTTTCCACGAACACACCGCCGGGGGTGTCATCCTTTCGCGCGTCAAGCTTGTTCGGACCGACGAGAAACTCCAGAAAAAATACGGCCAGGGACGCCATGAAGAAACAAAGAAAATACCACACGGTCGATTAGGGGAAGCCAAAGTAGAGGATGACACCGTGCGGTACTGCCTTTCGTACGTCAAAGAACAGCAGGAAGTCATTCGAGGAAAACATTAGGCTACAGCACACCGTCAACTCGCTTGTCGATTCAAATTCGTGGATCCGAATACGAAGGAAAAAAGGCATCACACATCCGGACCCAGACATTTCGCAAACAGCCAAATACAGTGATAGGCATCCACTGTACAACAAATGTTCTCAACGAGGCACCCTTTTGCGTACATGTTTGGGAAAGAAACTCCGTCATTGCAACAGCCAAGCACGTACCAAACCAAGCATTCCAAGAGGGGCGCGTAGCGAGTACCTTGAAAAAGGGAGGTGTGAAAAACGCGGTCAGGAAAGGTGCCCACGGCCATGGTGCCATGAACAGCTTGTACACAGGGGGAACAGCGGGGCCGGCGATAGTGGTCAGAACTCGAACGGCCATGTCTTGCTGATCTTCCACTGAGGCGCCCTGGCGATTCACCATGCACAATAAGGTACGGGGGCGGGAAGGGGTGTGTGAGGGTTCGTGCGGGTATACTCGTGGGAGACGTCGACAAACCAACAATATGTGCCGCAATAAGCGCTATGCGCAGCATGCCTAGGCACAAAGGAACTGGAGGGGAGGGGAACGCACACGTGCCTCAACAGGCTGTGCAAAGTAAATCGGGAAACGTATTCGCAAAGCGGCTGCTAGGCGGCAAGGACGGTACGGTCGGGCCAAGAGCCGAAGCTTAAGCAATTCCCTCAAGGGTGTATGGCCACAACAAAACCAAGTGAATGCGCATGCAAGATCCAGGGAAATCTATGCACATGCATTGAAGCGACGTCGTTCAATGGGGTCGTCGAATGAAAAAGAGCTACGACTTATCAATCTTTGGACTTGCCGTCAATGATGACACCGAAAGTCATCAGAACTCAATTCGCTCTCCACGCCATCGCACAAATCGGGTACACCTGCGAGAGCCTCGTGGCGAAAGGTTGACACCGCTTTTCCTCTTTGAAGGCCGCTCGGTTGAACGACAGTCGCGAATTACCCTACTTACTCTTTAGAACAATAACACGACTCCTGTGACTGTGTGTGGCTTGGGCAAGCATTGGCAAAATGTGGGCACCCCGCCGCCAGCCCCCACTACAAGGAAATGTCTTTCAACAAGCCACGACTCCTGTGACTGTGTGTGGCTTGGGCAAGCATTGGCAAAATGTGGGCACCCCGCCGCCAGCCCCCACTACAAGGAAATGTCTTTCAACAAGCCACCTTGACGTCTCCCTCGGGTGGGTGGCCATGCAATGATGGCAACGCGCATATATTGCCAAAACGGGGGCCGAACTCGCCTGTATCACCATGTAGTTTTGGGCTTCGTCGATGAGGCCGGCATAGCCAGGCTCCTCCGACTTGTACCCGATCTCTTTCTGGACGAGAACCCGGAACAGCGCTAGCGCGACCTTCAGCACAAAGGAGGTCCAACAACGAAGCACACAAGCATGGAGGGCAATGGTTTATGTGACTTGGTTTTTAGACCAAATGTCAAGGGTTACATAAGGAGGCACACGCGGTGTGCAAGTTCAATTGGGGCAATGCATGCTTAGTGCTTGCTGTTTGGGGCACTTGGATGCAAGATCCCATCTGGAGAGTATATGTGTGTGGGGGGTATGCTATTGGGGGTCCAAGTGCGGGGCCCATCGAGAGAGAGCACGCACATGTGTTCACTGTACTTATGTCGTGCTGGAAGGGACACTGTGTGTGATAATCAAGGTTTTACTCATCTGCATCGGTCCTGGGCGAACATAGTCCCCAGATCAACTCTTACTACTGTGGGTGGGCACGGTAGCCCCCCCGTGGGAAGGAACGGGGGCCTCTAACACTTGCCCGCACTTTCAAGATAAAAATCGCGAGACCAAGAACTTGAGCAACGCTGGGGTATGTTGAGTGTGTGTTCTGTTCTATAGTGGACACCGTTCGTTTATTGTTTAACATAGCAACCGGGATCGCACAGAAGGAAGGCAGCACAGGGACGACGTGGTTTGTCGCTGTCCCTCCTTCCGTCTGCGGCGACTGCCTTCGACAACAACGCGAAAAAGCACCCTTCCCTTGATACTGTGCATTTTTGTTCTTGTCCTCACTTCAAATCAGGGCTCACAGCATTAGTGCCGTTATACTCCAACCCGTGGTCACACAGAAGGGCCCCTCTCTACCGTCCCCTTTGCGGTACGTTGCCTTCGATTTTTAATGCGAGAAGAGTTCAGCACTCGCTTCCCTCTGTGTACACACGAACTAGCGCTATCCACTAGGCCAGGAGCGGAAGCGAGAGAAACAACTCACTTTGCAAGAAAAGCTCGCTTACGCCGGGATTCGAACCCCTGACCTGACCTCTAGAAGGTTTCGAGGATACCAACTAGACCACCGGGGCGACCGTGCATACTCCTGTAGTCCGTGCACAACAGAAAATCCAAAACATTCCCGGCACAAATGACAACTTTTCTCTGCACACAGGTGGTTGTTCCGACATCTGAAAGTACCGGCAAACGCCCTGTTTCCAGGCGCATGGAGTGACGGAAAGTTTTTCTTTCTTTCTTTTTTCTTGACTTTTTATCGGCACAAAACCGGGAAAACTTGAATTCTTTTTTCCAGGGGCGTGTTCTATGCCGATTTACAAAAACTCTACGGATTCGAACGCGTCTCGCAATTTGCCAGGTCGGGCTTTTTTTTTTTTCGAAATTTTGTGAATTGACGGAGATATCGCTCAAAAATCGACAGTAGAGCATCAGTTTGAAATCTTTTTTGGGTGATAACCAACCGACCGATTTCAAAATAAATGGCGGCAATCGATTCCTCTCCTCAGTATCTAGGTCGGTATTACTGGGTTTTGTTGGGAAAAATCTGGTTTCCGCGATATTCCACATTTTGTTGTGCCGTCCCCATGGGAAATGTTTTTTTGGATGGGGCAACACGCACGCGCACACAACACGCACACGTTGCGGCCCAAAACACGAAACAAGCACGCAAGCACCATGGGGAAGCCTAGGGGACGGGATAAGAAGAAGAAGTTCGGCAGCCGCAGAGCCAATGGTCGGGCGATTTCGAAGAAGCCGAAGCCGGCATTGCAACATGATTTTCCATCTCCCGGCGCTGATGACGCGCTCTCGGATGGCCACGACGGCGCATTTTTGATGGACGTGGCCGAGAACGCTGCGTCGTGATGTGTGTGTGTGTTTAAGTTCGTGGTAGCTTTGCCGGATTGTTGTGCGCCTTGTGCATGTTTCTGTTTCTTTCATGTTGGCCTTCTACTTATTTTCAGCACTTACCCCTTACGATTGACTGCCCCCGAGTGTTTGTATAGGTTTATGTACATGTATAGACCCGTCAATGTTCATATATTGTGCCTTTTAACGCCCAACGGTGTTGTCGATCATGCGTCTGCGTGGTATCTGTACAAATGCAAGCATGTGGTGTCCGTAATGTAGAGGGTGAGGGGGGGCTTCGGGGGTACGGTCGGGGGTTCCGTGAATGCAGAGGGGATGTATGTCGTGTTCAGGGAGTTCCGTGTATGATTGTTGTCAAAATTGTTGCATATCGTCAGAACAAAAAAAACTCTGCAGATATCGACGTATCTCGACGAGGCGGTCACGACCATCGTTGTTTCACGTTTCAATTCTTTTTCAAAAGAAAGTTATCGCACAAAACGTGAATGCACAAATTGTTGTGCGCGGACCGTAAATAATATCGCTTTCCACCGCAGATTTGCCATTTCTTCACTCCCGAGAGAGATTCGCACCCACATCTGCAATCAGTAGGTTTACGACGCAACCCACGCTACCATTGGGTCGCTGTGCGGATGAAAACAGCCGAAGACGCCTTGGTGGATATCGTGTCCACAGGGAATCCACAGGGAATCCAGGTGTGCGAGGAGAATCCGAATTTGAAGAAAAGACGTGGGGGTGCACCGTTACAAGCAAGCTGTACAAGCGAGCAGCACGAGTTGAAGGGGGTGTACAAGGCGGCCGACTCGTATGCCTGCGTCTGTCTTACCTTGTCAAGCAAGCTCTCGCTGCAGAAATCCGCCGCAAGCGGCGGTCTCAGCTGTGCAACTCCTTCCTGCCAGACCCATCATTTCCGTACGGAAAACGGCGGACAACACCAGGAACAGGAACAGAGACACACCATCCCCGACGTTGGTGCACACGTGTGATATTGGGATACAGAAAAAACAGGACGCATCAATCTGAAATATTCTCAGCCCCATGTCTAGTAAGACGTAGAGGGTAGATAACCATGCAAACCCTTTTGACACCAGTATCTTAATGGGTTCGGGCGAGAACGTGCGAGAAGCCATGGTTGTGTGTCCCGCAAAGGTTTCTGTAGAGTTTTCAAATTCGGCACTTTGGGCCTCGGGCATTCTTCAGAACGATCCCGTGGGCATCCGAAATACGAAACCAGCCCGATAAACGTGGAGGTTATGCACAGAACAGAAAGAGCGTCAACCGCAAATTGAGTCAGGGGACGACCCCCCGCAGAGCCGATGTACTGCAACACGATCATGTATTGAATCGTTCGTGTGTTCGGGAAAAACTGCGGTTCAGGGAGAAAAAAACGCTGCCCAACCATGCTAGGTTATCGCAACGCAATCGCCGAGTTCAGCCTCCGCCAGGACGCAAGCACCATGTCGACATTTTTTTGTCGGCAGGCACAGAGCGCCTAGAAACTAATTCGGGGGAGCAGCATTAGGCTGAGAAGGACTCATCGCAACGCCTCGATCCAGTCTCGCAAAAGACAGCAATAGCCTGTCACATCGAAAACGACACGAGCGCTCACCAGCCTCGTCGCTGTCTGGGTAAGGCTTAGTACTGGACACAACACACGCGAGCCAACAGCAACACAAGTCAACGGCCAAAAACAAGTGGCAAGAAGCTAGATAGAAACACACAACCTCCATACTGGTTGTCGGTATACAACTGCATTCCTGCGGTCGTCGCGCACCTCTATATGCAGCAGTAGACACACGAAACAATCAGGCTAAAAGAGGTGTCATTGGTCGGCCCTTCGTAGTCGGCACGGGCGTAAGGGTTGTTGGTGGTGTCTTCACAACAAAAACCGTTCCGATCTCTTTACGCGGTACCACTAGCTGTCCGTACTGATCAAACACTTGACCGGTCGATTGCCGTGGTCACAGGCTATCTTACCCACAAAAGGCAGGCTGAACAAAAATGGACCCGAAGGGTCAAACCGTTTTAAGTCAACGACGTACAATCTGGAGCCCTCCCGTCTCCTCTACAGGTAGATGTGACGAGATGTGACGATCTCTGACGCGTGTTTAGTGTGGAGCTAGTCCGACCACTGTGTGCAGGTAGGAGCCGCTTCGCTTCTTCAGTCTGTTTCCTTCCTTATCCTTCCTTTCTCTCTCAGTCGCTCGCTATCGCTCACTCCCAGGCAAGACACCAGGGAACACCAGGCAAAACACTGAGCAAGGTGGAACGCTTTCACTCTCTTGCTACTGCTAGTAACCATTGTACTGCTACCTGCCTAAAGTCGGAATGCTGGGAACCTGGGCAGGTGGTCGGGATTTTCCAGAAAGATATACCCGCCCAGATGGTATCTTAGTCCAAGGGTCCAAATACCATAACACTAGCCCACCCTGAGGGGACATATACGCAGAGGCTAGAACCTGAAGAGGGGGAGATAACAATCCATCTGAGGCATCTACTCTAGACTCGAGGATAAGGAGCCTCACAAACCTCTCCCACACCTCTACGTGGATTTCAAGAGAGCTACGCTCTCGGCTAGCAAAAGGGCAGAATTGAAATAGGAGAAAGCTGGGGCAAGCAGCGTGCAGGCTGACAGTGGCTATGAAAGCTGAGCAAAGAAGAGCGAAAAACGTCCAAAGATAGAAGCAGGGGCAGAGCTACATAAGCAAGCAGATAAAGAGAGAAGAAAAGGCCGGGGGGTCTATCGATTGCAAGGGGGTCACGAAGAACGACGGTGTGACGCCAGGATAGTTCCGGATACGCAAGAAAAGCACAAGAAAAAAGCTCAAATTAATACAAAAGCAGAAGAAGCAAAAATAGTCAGAGACAAAACCGTCTGTACCGCAACATGCGCATAGGAGCCGCTGCTCGAGAACTCTCCCGCTCCAAAGGAGAACGGGCGTCTTCACCTGGCTACACCTACGTGCCCCGCGACACCTACATCCGCCGCTTCAGCGCCACCGCCATACCCGTAGGAGCTTACTTCTGGTACAAAGCCAAAGATGCGCTCTGGTGGTTGGGCAAAATATCGCGACACACCACCACTGCTGACCTCTACATCGTCCGCTTCCTTGACGACCCCGGGCCGATCAAGATCTCCCTCGCCCCCGGCCACTACAGCTCCCAACATCACGCCGTCTGCGGTTCCTGGTGTCTGCAAGTACATCGCAACAGCTCCTTCATGCGTGGCATCCGGAGGAACGTCGACGAATCCCGAGGAGCCACAACAGCTCCAACTTCGACCACAACGGCGCCCGCTTCAGCAACCACAGCACCGCCTTCAGCCACTGCCCGGTGAAAATACCTTGTTGGGACACCGGCGACCGTCTGTTCTTGTTTTCTTGTTTGCATACATTCCCTCGCCATGTCAGCAGCTCTTTCCACCATGGTGCAATCTGCCCCTGGCTGGTTACGACCCTGGCGCTGGTTTGTACCTTGTATTTGTTTTTTGTATCGTTTTTTTTGTGTTTGTTTGTTCTTGTGTTACTTCTTGCGCATCTGACGCTATAGCCTTATTTCTATTTTGGACGCCGTTGCCACCCAAACACCTCGCTCTTACAGCCGTCTGCTGGCGTGATAAGTTTTGGCCTACGCTTTTGTGTTTGGCGCTCGACCATGCTGCCTACTTTCCTCTGTAGCCTTACCGTGTTTTCTTCCGCTACCTTTTGAGCTCCTGCGAGCACGTACTATTGTTGCTCCCCCGCAGCTCGTGTCTTCTACTGTCGACCCCCGTAGCCTACGACATCGACACCCCCGTTTTGAGCTTTCGAGTAATATTGATCTTGGGCCTGGTCCACTATATTTCCATTTTTTATATTTCAACGTCCACTCCGACAACCGCCGCCTGTTTGTCGCCGCCCCCATTTCATTGGACCGCGCGCGGAGCACCGTACTTACTGGCTCTCGCTTTATAGCCCGCATGTGTGAGCTCCCTCTGGCGCACACACACGGTTGTTTGTGTCGTTCGCAGTGCGTCCGAACCCACAGGGTATCTCACGTGGCGCTCGCCCAACCAGCACAACTGTTCAATATCAATTAAAATATAATTTGTAAGGTTGCCACAAACAACACACCCGGCGACCCAACTACAAACAACTTCCGTTTACACCTTCCCAGCATGACAAACCGGATTTATGCACAAAATGGAAGATGCTGCTGCACAGATGCACGGCTGCTTGTTTGCTTATGCGACTCAAATTTGCTTCGTCAGGTATCGATGATCACAAGCGTGATTTGCCTAGTGTAGTGGCATTGTCCACCTAAATAGTTCCGGTCGCATCGTTGCAATCGTTCTACAGTAGGTGCAAGATACCCGGGAATGTCCTCATGAAACTTGGTCACACCAAGAATGATGCACACCTGTGAAAGCAGAGTCGAGATCAAACTTTGTACATGCCCCCCTCCAAAACGGTTAGCGCGGTAGGAATACCTGTCTGCGTTCCTACCAACGTTAATGTAGTATGTGTCAGGAGTATTGTAGTGCAAGAACTGACTCTATTCTACTGCATGGGTTTTGTGCAGTATTGTGAAGGCGTGACTTCAAGTCTGTAACCGTCAGGTGAAGGCAGGCTTGGTCGCTTTGTATGTTAATGAATCACTCTGTGTTTATCTACCCAAACTGCGCCACTACTGCCAACTACACAGCAGCACACGGCAGCCCAGACAACTGCTGAACTGCTGTCAGGTTATGAGCCTAGCGTTTGGTGGGTAATGACATCGAGTCATCATGTCTACGTCGTCTGCAAACATCTTCAAGCAAGGATACGTCCCGTTCAACGGAAATCCTAATGAGTACCACAGATGGTCGAGTTTGTTCCGCTCGATCATGTACGAGACCGGCCTAGGCGAGGTTATGTCTGGGACCGAGAAGGCTCCGGAAGCTCCGGTGGATGGCACGGCGGATGCGGTCGCGGCGTACGAGACCAAGAAGCGTGCTTTCAAACAAAAGAACGGTAGGCTGTTCACGCGGCTTGATTTAGCGACGTCGGAGTGCGCCGAGGGATTTCAGAGTGCTGCGTCTCTAGTCGTAGGGTCCTTCAACGCCGTTTATCCTGAGGAGTGGGGTGACGGACGTGCTGCATTTCTCGCCCTGGAAGCAAAGTACCGAAAGACTGGAGCGTTTAGGATGCAAGAGCTGCAGCAACAGCTAGGAGCCCTGTCCGTCACAGCCGCCGACAAATACGACCCCGCGCGCGCAATCCAAGAGTTGCGCCGCATTTCCGCAGAGCTCGAAGCGCTTGGTGACAAGGTCGTGTCGACTCGCAAAACCCACACCTTCTTGAACGCGCTACCTGACCAGCAATACGGACAATTCAAAGCTGCGCTGGTGTGCGAGCAGTCGCGAGACGACAACTCCGATTTGAACTTGGATTTTGAACGTGTGGCACACCGAGCCACTGCTTTCCACTCTCTGCAGATCAGGGGCAAGGATACTACCAATGACGACGGCCCTGGAAGCCACGGCCGTGCGCTCAACACGACCGTGCATGGAGGAGCACGCGAGTTCCGTAAACACGGTGGACGTGGACGCAACCGCCGAGGAAATGGCGGCAGGAACGCGGACGGGAACAACAGCTCGAACGGCAACAGCAGCAGCGGTGGAACCAACTCGAACGGGAACCCATCAGGAGGACGTGGCGCTAGCAGCGCCCAAGGTGCACGCGGAAAAGATCGCGGCAACCAAAACTCCGGTGGAGGTCGAGGACGGGGTCAGCAGAATGGCCAAGACCGCAAGAGACGCTGCAGGTACTGCCACAATTCGACCGAGCACCAGTGGCAAAACTGCCCTCTTCGCCTCTCGAATGAGGCGGAGGACGCCAAAGAACAGGCAAACGTATCGCAGGAATCCACCACCACTCAGGCATGGTTCACGCAGGTCCGGGGAGGTAGCAAGGGTCTAGAAGACTTCTCAATTATAATCGATGACTGCCCGCGGGTGCAAGAAGTGCCCGCCGCGACGCAAGCAGAGAAGCGCGTCGCTGAATACCCGCAGGTGCCAGAAGTCCCTGCTGCGGCGAAGCCCGAGGAGCGCGCTGCTGGATATACGCAGGTGCTGGAGGCGCCTGCTGCGGCGAAGCCCGAGGAGCGCGCTGCTGGATATCCGCAGGTACTCGAGGCGCCTGCTGTGGCGCAGCCCAAGGCCTGCGCTGCTGGA